TAAACCGCGAATTCCCGGGGGGGGGGGGGGGGGGGACGCTATTTGAGGTTATGGAAGGGTGCCTGTCTTACAAAATGTATATACGGTTGGACTCCAACATTATCGAATCCTCCTGCACCCACCTCATCTGAGGAGTCTGTCTCTGAATCGTCGGATTTCGGTTCTTCTTGAAGCCACGGTTGCTGATTCTCAGCTGGTGCTAGAGAAGGTGGAGTTGGTTCAGGGTTGGCAGATGGGTCCGGCATGGTAAAGTCCTTAGAGATTCTTGTACTACTTGTCTCATCAGTGAACCTACATGATGATTTTCTGTCTCTTTATCTCATATTATCCCTGCCAGCGATGGGTTTCCCTAATAAATTCTTCTAGTGGTCAAGTGAGATACTTCACCACTTTATGGTGGATGGCCATGTCTTTGCCACAGCTAGGTAGGTGACCCTGTGGCCAGCATTTCTTATGAAGGTACTAAGGAAACGAAAGGAACGCTCTGGCTGGGGTATGCTGACATGGAGCTGTCCTGACATTAAATTCTTGTTCTTGGTTTTAGATACACATTTTATTTTTGGTTCTTTAAAGTGTAAGTTCTATAAACTTATAAAATGTGATTTATGTACCTTTTTTTTGTTTTATAAGGTCTTTTTTTTTTTTTTTTTTTCTCCTTTAGAACGTAATAAAAATATGAACTCCAAAATCCTGACTAACAAGCTAGGCCTAAAATCTCCTGTGCCGAAATCTGACAACGATATGGAAAAACTCAAGAGAGAAAATGCTGCTTTGAAAAAGAAACTGGAGGAATCGTCCAAGTCAAAGATGTCTGATGCAGAGAGGAATAAACTGTTTGAGGTAATACACCACTCATGCATATGATCGCAGTTTGCACCATTAGAAAACTAGTGCATTGGATGTTGCTGTGACCCTCACCAAAGCCACTGGATGTTCGCTTTGGGTAGAAGTGGGCTTTAACACACAACTCCAGGTTACAAAAAAACAAGCAACTAATGAATGCAGTTATGTAATGAATTCATTAAATGCCTTTTAGATGCAACTCGTGTAAATGCCTTTTTTTGACTTGTTTTCAGCCTCTTCTAATCTGTATCTAATATACAGCAAGCACTCAGACTGGAAGGAGGGTTAGTATTTGGGTGTAGTCAGGTGTCTATCATTCACATGTACTGACAAGAAACATGCTGACAGCAGAAGAGCGAGTGCAGAGGGAAGACCTCATCAGTCTGTTGCTGCTCCGTCACTGTCCAGTCACAGGCTGGGGTGGAGACCTAGCTGTATTGTTTGATTGCAGAAAAGTCAGGTCATCACGCTGGCCGTGCTGTGTAGAAGCACTGTGTAAATCTAAGGAGAGGATGGAAAGAAATACAAATTCTTTGCCGGGCAAGACAGCTCCTTGTCTTGTATGTCAAAACTGTATATAGCTGTGTGCCTAGCTAAATCTTTAAATGATGATGTTGCGTTCAGGGTTGATCTAGAAGAGTGAGGATGGACTTCTGGTGCTAAGTGATTTATTCTCACGCTGTATAATTTGTAGCAAACCATTTTCAATGTGTTTTGAATTAAAGTGATTTCAAATGAGGGGTAAAATCATCACCCATAACATTACATTAGCATTACATCCCATGTAGATTAGCCTGAAAGCCAAAAGGGACATTTAGGTACACTGCTTACCTGGCTTCTGGAAATTGTGAATCATTAGAACAGGGTTAGGCAACCTTGGCACTCCAGCTGTGCTGGAACTACAAATCCTGTCATGCGTGTGGCTGTCAGTCTTGCAATGCCTCATGGGACTTGTAGTTGCACAACAGCGGGAGTGCCAAGGTTGCAACCCCTGCTAAGAAAAACAATTTTGAAACCGGTTTAGCATAGGTAAGAGGAAGTGGTGATTTTTATGACTGTAATTGGTGTCTTGTGATGGTTGGAAGCCTGATGACTGGCAGTACTAAAATCCTTCTTCTTATGATTGTATGTAATTGTGTCTTTGTAGAAAATACTTGACCTGGAAACGCAGAAAGTGAAAAACAGTCAGGATATGTCTCGACAAGATGAAATCGCACGGAATCGTACTGATGCGCTGAATGCCAGAAATAGAGGGCTGGTCCTAGCGGCAGGGGAAGCCAGAAGAATAGAGAACATTTCCAGTGAGATTCGCAAGCAGATTCCAGAAGTTCCACCACGTATAGTTCAGTCCAAGACCAGCACGCCACAGACTAGACAGGTACTGTCAGGTGGTTTGTGACACCTATGCATTGTTGCCGCATGTGTATATTCTATTAAAATCGCCAGCACATTCCATAGCATTGCGTAGAGAACAAACTAAACCTACACGTTGAGGGAGATTTTCTGATAAACTTTGTCCATAATAGGCACAGTTTGTAAATGTAAGCACATAATTAACAAATGCCAAACAATTGCTATGCTAAACTGTATGAATCAAACATAACTTCTCCTAGCAGCTTTTAATCTGTACAGAGGAGGAAATAAATTGTACACGTGTATAAATCTGTAAAATTATTTTTATATAT